TAAAACACCTGAACAAACAACAGAGGATACAGTCCCAAGGGCATTGTGCAGTTCCCTCTTCTATGCAGGAGACTGATAAAATCAGCTTTCATACTTAGTTCTTTATTTATTAATCTAGTACACTACTTGGTCAATTGCTTTTATTTTCTTAGTGTAGAGGACTTCTGGTGGCAGAAAAATAGAAAAGGGAATTCAAGATAAAAGCCAATTCTCCTCAAACAGCACGGGAATTCTGCCTCATGGAGAGCCCCTGAATTTACCTGGCTCCTCGAGGTGCCAGTCCCTGGCAGAACTGTAAAGCCATGGGCTATTTTCTATCATTAGCCTCTGACACCAGAAGCAGTACCCAGGGGAGGGAGGCAGGATGAATGCCAGCCAATTCTCAGCATAGCTCTCATGTCTGTTTTGCTTCTCAAACCTCTTCCTCGGCCCTCCTTGAACAGGCACTGTGCCTCTCCAGGGGCAATGCCTTGGCTGCAGTGACAGAGCACACCAAGGAGGAGATGAGCCATCTTCCTCTTTTTAGAGAGAAGATCAAAGACTAAAAACCCCAGCTCTCCAGGCATGCTTGCAGCCTTATAACAATGTACTAGACACATCTAGAGTAAAATTTTGCAATGAAACGGACACTCGTAGCAGTGGGTACAGGGTAAGAGCTAACCTTCTGAAAATTTAGCAGATCAGTGGAGAGAAAGAAATAAATGTGAGAGGGGTGAGCAGAAAGAAAAAGGAAAGAAGTTGAGGTATCTCAGCAGTTGCCTTTTCCTAAAAACATTCTCCTTGTTAAATCTCAAGTTAATCATCAGAAATGCATAGGTGCTTTGGCCTCTTGTTCTCCTATGCTGAAAAAAGCACCTTGTAATCTCAGACGTTTTTGCCTTTCCCACAGAAATATTACCCATAGATGTATCAGTTGCTGATAGAGTCTGACCTATTCAGAGATGTGAATATTAATGGAAAATGCCAAAAAACCACTTTTATGCATCCACTGGAGGAAGTATTTGTGAAAGCATTGATTCCAACATGGAAGAAATCTCATCTGACCTAGTTTGTTACCTCCTGGCTGTCTCATCTGAGGTTCCACCTGCTGTTTCTCCATCTGCCAGTCTTTTTTGTATCAGAGGAACCTTCTGAGTTACACATGAAATGTCAGGCAGGCTGGAGAAAAGTTATTTATGTCTGCATTTAAACAGATAATATTTTCCATTAAAAGTGCATCACGGAGACACTAAAGGCTAAGATCTGCTTTGCTTTTGGTTATCTTAACTCAAGGGCAGGTCTGCTTATGTGAAAACTGATGCTATTATTTCAGACCTCCATATATCCAAGCAGAACAATGATACCCTGTGAAGCTCATTATTAGAGTCTTTCCCAGTAATATTAAAAGCCTCAAGCTAGGGGCAAAAAAGTATCAGATAATTTAGTTAAAGTCACTGGAACCCAAAACCAGTATCAGGGAACCATCTGTCTTCTCCCACTTACCTCCTAAGGTCTTTCAGAGCAGAACACAGAGTTACTTTGGATTAATATATGAATAAATATCTATTACCTGAAGGAGTAATTACCTCTAAGGTTGCAATACCTAGGGGCAACTACTCTATTCAAACCCAACATTTGAGGTATGGTATTCTGCCAGTATATAAGACCACAGCTATGCTGCAAAAGTCTGGTAAAGACTTATCTGTGGGATTATTATGATATCTTTGTTTTTCTGCTACTTTTGCTACTTTTAGATATTCTGTAAATTACCTTTGATCACCTGATCTCTGCTGTCTTAGTTCTGTTCAGACTTAAGAGAGGTACTAGGAATCATCCAAATCCATGTAAGTCAACAAAAACACCTCTCTTTATTTTCATCGAGTTAGGGCTCAGAGCCCTGGAGCATCACCCCCATTGCATACCACCTATCTGATTTAAGTACTGTACAGCCAGTGCCTTAGGAAACTCTAGAATCCAGGCTTTCAGCAGTTATTTTCTCCCTAAAGAGAAAAGAACTGGAAACTCATCACATCAGTACAGATTGCCACATGGAATTTTTTATGAGAAGATCTAATGTATAGTGGAGCTATAGGTGTCCTAAAATACCCACTTGAAGCCAGCAGGAATCTTTCCACAGATTTCAGTAAACTTTGGATCAAATCTTAGAGGTAATTAAGAAGTTCTATTTGGTGTATATATATATATATATATATATATATATATATATACACATATATATATGCTTGGTATAGTAAGATTTTATGAATATGTGTAGGCAGCCATTCTGTACCTGTCTTCTGTTGTGTTCCTGGAATAATTTCAGGCATTAAATGGACAGCCCTGAATCTTCCAGTCTCACAGCTCTTGGAGGTAGAAGTCTCTACTCTGAGTTTGCTGCAGCTGATGGATCCACTGTCCATGTTTGATTCTTCATATATGAGAATCCCTGAGTCTGGGCCACCCAAGCTATGAAAGCCAGGATGAATAAAATCTGTGCTTCCTGAAGATATGCAGGCATGACATTGCAATTTACCTTAACTTGTCTACAGCTGTCTTGAGGGAATGAAGGAAAGTCTTGGCAGGGAAACAAAATTACTTGAAAGTCATTATATGTATGTATGCACGTAATACAAGTATTAACACTATGATTTACAGTAATAAAAATATTATTACAAGGTGTTTAATTAGGAATCATTATAAGACCAATTAAAGTTGTCAAACTAGAACAAAAAAGCCACATGTGTTTTTCCCCTGGAGTACTAGGATATGCTGAGGCTCATTATTAGCTATTTATATAAGAATAGAAGACTGCTTTTCATCTAAGTTAAAATCCAAGCTCTTAAGAAAAAAAGAGCTCCAAGTTATATTCCTCTCTGGCAGACATTGTTTAAACAAATTTTATCTAAACATTTTCTATTTCCCAGAGTAGACACTTCAAAAAATCTGAATGCAGCAGTATCTATTTAGTTCAGCTTTAGCAGCCAACACAGTTCTGACATTTGCAATCCACACGTCAGTATTCATCTCAAAAAGTAAGACAAAATCACTGCAGAAAGCAAGACAAAATGGCACTTAGTTTACCTGGAAAGGATGGTCTGACAGTCCTTACAGGAATCTAATTAAAATGCAGCATGTTACCAGAACAATGCATCACACTGTGCTGCCATAGTAACCAGGGGTCCCATGGACTTTTGGGGCCATCTGAGGGCACGTTTGCAAGAGGCACAAGAACTAAACTGATCACTTATGGTACATTTTAAATTACCTAAAAACTCTAAATGATCTGATGTTAACCAACGAAAGAAATTAATTAACTCTTACATTTTCAGACAATGGACCAGTCTCAGGAGTAGATTTATTCTTGTTGCTGTTCTTTATGGCATACTGCTCCCCATAGCTTATTTAAGAAGTGCATGACTTATTTGCAACACGTGAACAACCAGTTTAATTTTATTCCCTAACAGAGAATAGAGCAATTAAGACCCAGAGGGCTGTGGAAGAGAAGACGAACAACAGAAATACATATTCTACTTAGGTTACTATTTCCAGTGCTATTTTCTGAAGTATTAAGCATTAGACTGGTCTCAGTTGTTGCTTTTAGTGGATGAGTCCCTGCTGCCATGCTGGGGAAAAAAATCACACTACAGCACTGGGCTTTTCTTCCCAAATCCTTCTCCTAGAATAGAAAGATCCTAAAACAACATTAATAATTATAAAAGCAGTATCTTACATTGTGTCTTGTCCTGATTTTCCAGGGATACAATCAATAGATTTGTCACTGAGGCACTGATTTTTAACAGTACAGGCATCCAAGTCAAGAAATTCTTTTGACACACCACCTCTGAAGGAGACTGCAAACTGTTAGTGGGTTGTTGCAGGCTATCCTGGAAGATTTTTGCTAAAGAGCACAGGACTTTAGGTTCCATTAAGCAACTAAACTATTGATGAAAATGCCTGCAAGTTGTTTGAAACGATCAAGGGGAATTTTAATTGCTTTGAAAAAGATACAGAAATTCTTCTGAAATAAATGAAATTCCTTAGAAATACAGGGGCGGGACCAGGGGGTGACATGGGAAATTGAAGCACTGGTTTTCTAAGCATAGAGAAACCAGTGTGTCCGTGTGATTTTAGTTCACAGTATTACACCATCAACCCTCGCTGTATACAGCTGGGATGGGTTCATACTTGGAAAGATCTATTCCACATTGGGCATGCAAATACCAGGGAGGTTGCAGAAAGCCAGAAAGGAACTCAATTCAAGAACAAGTTGGAAAGTTCAGCCTCCAGGGTTTTGGTCCTCTTTTTGTGCAATACCAGTGATATGCACTATGTGGTTGTGCCTAAGTTTCCCATTTAGAAAGCCAGACAATGATACTTAGCTGTTAACCAGACCACTGAAGACTAGCTGTAAGGGAAGTTCAAAATCCTACTCAAGACTAGTGAACCTTAAATACAAAACTACTTCAGGTTAGAGGTAACATTAGATCCAAAATAACAAATAATAAAACATGATAAAAATAAAAACATCTCACATTTAAATCTTTTTTTCTATATGGAAAAATGCCCAGGCAACATAATAACTGAACATTAATCTGTCTAAAAACAGACAGTAGACTGTACTTTTCCTAACTGAAACTTTATACAAGACAAATTCACTGCAACTAATCCATCACTGTATACCCCAGCACTTTAACAACCTCGAAACAGAAATTCTTCAAAGGCCTCATGATTTCCTGATAATCTGCTGCAGCCTGTTATTAATGACTTCAGTCACTTTCAGGTTGTCCTTACAACAGAAAGTTTATTAGACTTACAAATTAATCTATTTGGTCAACAGTTTACTCCAGCTGAGGTAGCAGCCCTGATGCTCTCATTCTTCACCATGGTTTTTTGCACAGACTGGGCTGCCATTTGCTGGTTTTGTTCCTCCAGTTCCTTTACAAGAAGCAACAAGTCTGAAGGCTTTAACAGGGCCTTTTGGAATGGAAAGGTGGTGTTAGGAATCATCACTAATTTAGAAATTTGTTTTTAATGGGTTATGTTTTATTTGCTTCAGTTGAACACCATTATTTACAGACACAAGTTAATAAAACACATCACAAAACAATAAAATTTCAACAGCTAATATTTATAGGTGCATAGTTCATGCTCAATTACTTTTTTTATATGTATAATACATACACATATATATAAAGCTCTCACAATAAGTCATCTCTGCACAGAAAGAATAGTCATAGGAAACAAATAAAAACTGTATCATAAACAATATCAAATTACTGACAGCCTATCAACAAAACATGTACAGAATTAGAAATAAGCATTAGACACTTAGGTGTTTTTACTTAAGATTTTCTTTTTTAACTTTTAAACTTGAAGCCACAATATCCACAGCACAACAATGACCCTGCCAACCGGTTTCATTTCAGCAGGAGGGAAATGCTGAAACAAGGTGGATGCGGTCACAGATACTCCAATCATTGCTGATGGAAGACTTCAAAATACACTGTAAAAACTGTAAAAAAATTTTACGACTGGGCACATTGGAACTCAGCACTTGTACAGGATGGGACGTCTTTAGTAGTTAGTAGATCTCAGGTGATAAAAGGAAGAAAAGGACTCTCATGCTTCGGGTTCATAGTCTTGATACTCTTCCTAATGGGGAGAGCAGAAATCAGCACTGCTAGTATTTTAGATAAATACATTCTACTTTCACTGTTTATTCTAGTCCTGGTGGATTCAATGCCAAAACAGTGTGGATTCTCATTTAATCAGGATCTTGACATTTATTTATATTTTGTCACATTTTCCAGATCCTGTACCTTACAAGATATGGAACTTAGAAGAGAACTAACTCTCACTTTTACAGTGACTAACACGTAATTCAGCTGATGTTGCCAGGAACTCATGAGGCCACCCATGAAAATTCACTTGCAAACGGAGGAGAACAACCTCTGGGCTGAGCGGCACACCAGGTGCTGCGGACCCTCATACAAGTCGCTCAATCATTTAAAGGAGTCTTTAACTATAGACGCATGAGCAGCATCCAAAATTCCACTGATATTCAAGATGTTATGCTCAAATGTGCCTTTAAGTCTTCTACTGGATCATGGCCTAAATTTTTTATACCTCTCATTTTCAGTCTAATCTGCGCTACCATAAAACTGCTACTCCATCTACTCATGCATCACACCAGATATTGCAGTAATATTTTAGATAGCTGGTTCATAAAACCCAACAAAATAATTTACTCTCATAATTGCATTAACTTAAGATCGTGTTTTACAAAGCATGATGGACTGGTAAGTGGCCAAGCTATTAAAACAATCTATCAAGATGCAGTTTGTCCTGCATTCGCTTTTAAACATACGAAAAAGATACAAGGTTACTGTGCATTACTCAGAAACCCAGGATCAAGTGTTTTGAAACACACACAGTATTTTCCCATTTTACTCCCTTACTAACAAAAATAGCAATTAATTTTCTGATTCCCAGCACCTCTGGCAGACCTTGGTCAAAGAGACCACAGTTCTGCTGTGCCCTTGCAGCTCACAGCATCAGTGTGTGCCGGGCTCACGTAACTCATGCATGCAGCCTCCTCCCGTGCCCTTCTCTTACATGCATTCACTGCAAACACCACAACAGATTTACCTCTGGAGGCATTTCGTAAGCCTCGTTCTCAGGATCCACAGGAACATCTGAATTATTCACCATTCCCTCCTGTAGGAAACCTTCTTCATTCTACATTTAAAATAGGGAAAGAAAAGTGACAGTAACTGCTTGCTTCCCCACCTAAGCCAAAGCGCGTATTTCCTCCCTCTAAGATTTCTTGGCCTGTCCTTTGGTTGTGGGATTGCCAGGGGTTGTGAAGAGCTAGAGGACATTAGTTCCAGAGAGATCTTCTCCATGTTCCACAGGGGTATCTGTGGGAATGACTACTATCATCTCTTTGAATAGCTGAGATTCCATTTCTCTCTTGCCATGAACAGATCATGAAGTCAATCCTAACAAAAGAACAGTACCACTATCAACTTGCTGAATACCTTTGGAAAATATTTTAATCCCACAGAAAATGCCTTGGTCAAGACAGGAAGCAAACCAAAACAAGTGGTTTTGTGCCTTAAGAAACTGACCTGGGAAACAGAGTCCTATGCAAACTGTTTAAGCATCACATTAAGTTATCACGTTAATTCCTGTTTAACTGCTTGGGCAATACAGTAACAGGTACGTAAAAGTGCCTGCAGGCCAGAATTGGATAGTACCAAGACACACAAATGAAATAATAATTCAATTATCTATTTTTTAATATTATAGACACATTCACACCCTCATAAATCTTTATTTTAAAGTTTTAGTTTTTTCAAAATACATTGCAAAGTGGCCAAAAAAGGGAAAGCTATTATGACTTAGATTACTGCATGCTAGTTTTTTTCTTCACTTTTAGAATCCAATTGTACTGGGAAATGCTTTTTTTCTTTAATGGGTCATACCTCTACATTCTTTCCTATGTCAACCAGCATGTTATTCTATACACTATTAGTATATGATACATGGTATAATATAATACCTGTCACTCAGCTTCTTTCATTTTTTGTCTTTATTACAGAAGCACTTCTATTTTATAAAGCAATTTTAATAAGAGCCTCTTAGAATTAATGGGATTGCAATGGTGTAAGGAATAACTTGCTGAGTAAGATTATTAAAGCAAACGTATTATTGTCCTAGAACTATAGATACTATTTACCATCTGAAACAAGCACAAAGGAAAAAACTCCACATTTCAGTTGGGCCAATCCCCATTGTAGCTGTTACAACAGAACTTCACAGAGAAGAAACATGAGTTCTGGCAGAGCAAAAACTGCTGGAGTTCATCCTGAACTGTGAGAAAATTGATATGAAAACAGGCAGAGTATCTCAGTGGAACTATTGTGATCACGCTGATTTATACCAGCTGTCGGTCTAGACAGAAATGCACTAAAACACAATCACAGACACTCAGGAAGAAATTCACTTAAAAAAACCACCTGCAGGCTGGTAGAGTAGACAGAAATACAAAATTAAGTAAGTCACAAACCAGACTAATGAGGTAATTCTTCAAAGTCTACAATTTAAAGGATAGCGGTGCTAAATTAAATTTAGGATACAGACAAAATAAGGGTAAGAGAAGCTAAACCTGAAACTCACCTCTGTAAGTTTAACACAAAATAGAGTATAATACACAAGTTCACCATTTGCCATATATTGGTTCCCTCTGTGGTTTAATCAGGTGACCATAGTCATAATGCTCTCTTCCTCATTTTCTGCACCTCCCCAGATTGTGACTTTATCTGCCAGATAGTAATCCTGTTCTTCCTTGGATGTCACCTTTTCTGATGCATATGCGGGTACATGCATTTTTTACCCTTATCATCAAAGTCTATGATGTGCAGAATTTATTCCCATAACATGGATTCTTCTCTCTAGCTCTTATTTCAGATTTTAGAAGGTCAAATATGAAGATATCTGGTCCCATTGCTTCTCAGTGGATCCAGATAAATTCTTTCCTTTAGAGGTAAACAGTACAGTCCACGTGGAGTCAATACCTAATAACTATTCTGCCAAGTACCCTCCATGGGTGTGCCTGCTGTGAGTCAACATCCTGCACCACTCTATGGTATAGGTAACACAGACAAATTCCAAAGAGCCAAGGGACGCCAAGAAATAAGGTTGCAAATACCTTTATTTAGGTATCTAATAGGTACCTTTGTCTCCCAGAACTGCCAATAATTTGGGGGTTTCAAAAGGTAATTGAAAGGTAATTTTTCAAGTAAAAGGTAATTTTTGAAGGTGAAAATGAAAGGTAATTTTTCAAGCATGAAATTATCAGAAAAACTAGGCCCAATTACAGTTTTGCCTCAGCTTATCAAAACACTTCAGCTCCTCAGATGACCTGATCTTCATTTTTATTTAACCTAGCTTCTAAATAAATTCTTTAATGGTGTTTATGCCTATTTACTCTTATGAGAAGTAGCATCAATCCCTACCAGCTATGACTGAAATAGCCAAATAGTGTGCGTGATGCAAATTTTAAAGCCGTTACTGCGCACTTGATCTAACGTATCAGCTCTAAGGACCTAAACCTCCAGTCTCCTAGTCTCCTGTTTAATCCAAAATATAATTTAATTTCTGCTTCTCCCAATCATTAAGGAACAGTTTCAGCTAACAATCAAGTAAAACTGTGCACAAGAACAGTTGGGGTTTCACAAGAAAGAAAGAAAGCATGCAGCTTAATGTTATCTGTAGCAGGAAAACAGATGGCAAGTGAAACTGCCAGGATCATTAGTAACGACAAAGAAAGAGACTTGCCAGTCGAATTTCAAATAAGAGCTTCAAAGTTTGTTTGCTGTCTGTTAGGAACCTCTGCCATGGATCTGGACTGTCCATCAGGATTACAAAGACACAATGCCTAAAAGACTGAACTTATCATCTTCCCAAGTTCCTTCAGCAAGCTCAGGATGGAGATTCCTCTACAGCTTCAAATAAATCAGCAGCACTAGAAAAATACAACATCAATCACACCACCATTATTTTTTTAAATGAAGCAAATCAAAAGCTGTACCAAACCACCAAGGGAACTCTTTGCCTGGGATAGGTTTATCACCTTTGTCCAGCTGCAAATAGTAACATAAACACCCCCATCCATGTTGATGTCACTGCAGTTCAGATGAGGATGATATTACTCAAGGTCACATCTGTTACATTTAAATGAAGAGCACAGGTGACCACATAATTTTTAATGGTGGTGCTCTCTACTTCTGAAGTATCATTTTTTTAAATTTCAGGATATCACAAAAGCAAACAAACACCTACAGTAACGAGAGCCATCTAAGGTACACCTTATATCATAATTTACCTCCTTTAAAACAAAGAAATGCAATTTTGCCTTCTCGTGATCAATAATTCCATATCCTAATTCAGTTATGGAAGAGGAAAACCACCCAACAGACCAATTCTTGTCTTAGTATGAAAGACACATTTTTCTCTAGAAGTAGCAACCTCTCTTAGACCACACAGAAGGTCATTTCCAGAGGGAAAGGTTTCTATTAGATGATCTGAAAAGCTTAACTAAAGACTCTCAGAGATGAAGGTGCTCTTATGGCTCCAAAATGCTGACTCCTCCTCCTTTACTATGGGAATGAATCCTGCTAAGCTCTGTGCATGACAGTGTGAAATGACCCACTTTTGCAATAAAAGAGTAATGAAACTATTGAAAAAGTCCTCCTGAAGACTCGGTTAAAATGAAGACCTGTTAAAATATAGACTCTTCGACAAAACTTCAGGTCTAATCCTTTTACCAGGAAAATGTCACCGGATGGGTTTCTCTTATTTCAGTGTTTTTGGTGAAAATTGTACCTCATTCTTTCCCTTCACTCTCTTTCCTGCCTCATAACACTCTTGCTGGAAGGGGAGAGACTGTTTGGGATCCTCCAGACATGGAAAACAGATCAAATGGTCTGCCCATGGTGCTGCTCCTATGTCAGCACCATGTAGTGATGGCACCTTCAGGAGTGTGCCTTCTGTCCTCTCAGTGATGTGTGCTGGAATGCCAAGTTATTGCCACCAGAAATAAATATATCTCAAGTCACAGAAAAAAGCAACTTCAAAAGGAAACATTTTAATTGTAATTTAGCAGCTGATCTAAGCATTACAATCTGCTATCTCCCTGACTAGTAACATGTTTTCCTTCCATTATGAACACTGAAGGAGTCTTAGAGTCATGCATATTCTCATAATTACTGGAGACTAATTCCTTCTGCAGTGATTCCACATTCTAAGATAAATAAACCAGGCTACCAAACTGTCAGCTCTTAAAACATTTATCCTGCCAAGAGGTGATCACCCTGGAAGCCACTAATCACAGAGGTCAGAAGACACCTCCAGAAACTGTCTAGTCCACCTTGAGCAGCTTGCTCAGGGCCATGCCTGATCAGATTTTGACCATTCCCACAAATGGAGAGTCCATAATCTTGTTGGATAACCTCATCCAGTGAAAAACCTTTTTCTTACATAAAAATGGACTTTCCTGCACTTCAATCAGTGCCCACTGCTTCCTGACATATCACTGGGCAATGCTGAAGAGTCTGGTTCAATCTCTACCGCCACTGCCACCATATATTTATACTCACTGATAAGTCCCCCCCTTAAACTTTAGGATTCACGTTGTTTCACAATTGCTGATTTTCTGTCTGTTCTTGAGACCTCTATGAAATTTTCCACGCAGATATTGTGGAAGGACCTTTTCTCTACTGTCCACATTCAATTATATACATAAAAACAAGGTGAAGCTTGTCTCAAACACCTAAAAAGTTAATGCAACATGAGAAGTCATTGTTAGTTTCAACAAAATAGATTATTATAAACTCAGTGAGCACTGGTCACACTACATCACTTGCCAGTCTGTTATTTTGTGTCTCATAATTACTGACTAACTGTGAATCAAGATAAGAGGCACTATGGAAAAAGCAGTGAATTGGAATAGGGAAAATGCTGGTTTACAAGGTAATTTTGGTATACCTCGGTGTAAAGACCTTTAAAGTCCCTTTTGGAAAGTCCTTTAAGACCCCCAACAAAATGTTCTATGCAAAGCCATTTTAATGCAGTCCAATTTGTTGTTCATATATACGAGGTGGTGGCACCAGCAAGAGCTCAAAATAAAAAAATACACATCCAAAGCATTATTATCTTGCAAAATTATCATGTAC